GGAACAGGCTGGATTCAGGAGAAACAAGTCATGTATTGATCAGATCGCCACATTACACATCATCATTGAACAAATCCTGGAATGTCAGTCACCTCTCTATCTCAACTTCACCGACTTTGAAAATACCTTTGACAGCGTTGATCGAGAGGTGATTTGGCAACTACTTCGCTACTACGTTGTGCCACCGACAGTTATACATCTCATCTAACAGCTGTACGACAATGCTGCATGCCAAGTAATCCACGACAGGAAAATTACGGAATCCTTCGAAGTGAAGACGGGAGTGAGACAAGGCTGCCTACTATCGCCAATGAATTTCCTGATTGCAGTAGATTGGATAATGCGACAAACAGCAGGCAATGAGGAAACAGGCATAAAATGGACTCACACGAAAAACATGGAGGATCTGGACTTCGCCGAGTTAATGAAGATTCATGGACAAGAACAACAACAACAGATGGCGATCAGCATAAATGGGAGGAATTTGACAGAAACAACCTCTTTTACGTACCTGGGAAGCATCGTTTCAACTACAGGCGGAACTGACGAGGATATCAAAGCAAGTCTGTGTTGAGGTCAACAGCACTCAGCATCAAAAATAAGACCCGGATTTTCAACTCTAATATGAAGTCAGTGCTACTCACTATACGGATCAGAGACTTGGCGCGTCATAAAGAGCACCTCAAACAGACTACAGACCTTCATTAACAGTTGTCTTTGCTCAATACTCAAGATCAAATGACCAGAAAATATCAGCAACAAAAGATCTCTGGGAGCGAACCAACCAAGAACCGATTGTGCAACAAATATGCAGGAAGAAATGGAGATGGATTGGCTGGCCATACTCTGAGGAAACCATCAAGTGACATCACTAGACAAGCCATTGTTCGATTGGAACCCGAAATGGAAGTGGCGAGTCGGTCGTCAGTGCAAAGGTGACTTGGAGGAGGTCATGTGAAGAGATGAAAACGTGTGTGCAGACATGGAGACAGGTGGAAACTCTAGCAGACAACCGAGCGCATTGGAGACGCACGGCTGAAGCCCTATGTTCCTCTAGGAATTAAAGGAAACAATAATAATCATAATAATAAGTGCTTGGTCTCCAGTTGACATGTCGGCTGCTTGAGCAGATGCTTCGATGATGTCTAGGCATTTAATAAGTATTTATTTGGTGGATGGTGACTAGCAGTGGAATCCATGATGCGCATTCCGTCCTATTTGCGACTTGTCAGCTGGATGCACTTGCATTTCTCAGTGAATGATGATGTTCCCACCGCGGCTCGAACCCAGTGCCCATAGTTTCAAACGCCAAAGTGCTATCCACTAGACAACTTGAGCCACAAGAGACACATCTTGTGCAACGGGTCATATTGATTTAAGTACTTTGATGGTTTTCACTAGCTACGTTCGCAGTTTTCGATTTCGGCGCTTATAGAATATCAGCGGGCTAAGGTCTTTCTAAAACTTTTCATTATGTTGCGGTTGGTAAAAGCATAGTATTCTTCTGAATATTTACACAGGTACCGGAAGCCGTAAGTCACATCTGATGGAAAACGTATAGGCCAGTCTATGTAGCTACATTTAAACGTAATCCTTAGAGTACTGATTTTCTAGGAAATTGTCACACTTACCATTCCTCAAAAATATGGTCCTATAATGTGAAACATGGACCAATCTGTTGACCGAAAACCAACAACTACTAAATATTCTCAATAATTAGGAACATTTTCACTCCAATATAACAGTCGTGCAAGTCACAGTTCGTTTTTCAAACTGCTGAATTTCCCCGACGTATGATACTGCTTTTAACTTCGAAATGTGCCTTCTTAAATCTTTTCAAACTACAAAATGCATATACTCACATACTGCATAGTAGTGTAACGACAGAAGGCAAGAGTCAGCCAACAGATCATTTAATAAGGAAATCAATGCATGTTTATATATTTCCATGTAGATTATTGTGGATATTTAAGCAAACAAACACAGTCTTCCGATTGGTTGTTTCTCACGTAAAGTTAATCTTTCATCTATTTGTGACTGTTTCTTGAATGTCAAATCCTCTATATGTTAACTGCATCCGCCTACGCAAAGTCTGCTGTGGTCGGTTTTGAATCAATCTTTGTTCACATTTTCTCACGACAAATCTTGGGTACGTAAATATTGACGTAAATTACTGTCTACCAATTTGGCTAGTAGACAGCTCTCACCACAGTAGCATGACATTCAATATGTGTTTAGATCTCTGAAAAACACCTATGAGAGTTGGGTGCGACTCTTTAGAAAGCCATTCAAAGTAAAAAGCATGAATAAAAAGTACAAACGTGGGGCATCGCAAGGGTAGCTTGCATACAGAATGTCAATTTCTATATTTCAAGCCTGAAAAATGAATTTTATGAATTTTAACTTTATGAAAATATAGACTATGGAACCGGTATGTTTTTAAAAGTTGTTTTAATCGTTTTTTCATATTATGTTTATTTTGGTAGTGACAATGAGTTATTTTACAATCATATCCCTCACTATAAATGTCGGCTGAGTGTAGTTTTAAGTTTGTTGATAAGTCCTTGAGAGGAGTCTGCGGTTGATAGACTGAATTAAGTGGTACGTTTTCTTGTTGCCAGACAGCAGAGTTTTATTTAACGTAACTCACGACGCAACCATAAACAGTGATAAATAGATGTATTGACAAATCTTTACACGAACTTTTCTGATTTTACGAATAATTTACCACACTATTTAACTTTATATCAAATGATCATCCTGGGACTAAAAGTCAGACATCTTTTTGATAAATGGGATTGTTGTGTGAGTTTTTAAAAAAAAGCACTACTAAAACATAAGTTGGCCTGTTTGAACGTTGAGCTGCCTAAAACTTCCACCCACATGTTGCATCTAATTTATCGTGTTTTGATTTGTACTTATGGATCAAAGTATGACCTCAAGTCATATTATTTACTCTCATGATTAATCAACTTTCACCTTTGTAGCATAGTCACGAAAAAGTATCACGGAGGTTGACAATGGGCATTCAAATGCACACTTGTACTTCGCACTACTCTTTTTGTAATCATTAGTACCAAATGCAGTTATTTAGCCATGATTAATTAACTGCAATCGTTCTTATACCTTGATTCAACTATTCACCCATACGCATGCTTCTTCATAAAATCGAAGCATTTCTCATAACATACAATAAACATTTAATAGGCTGAAATTCCTTAGAAAACAATCAGCAACTGAAAAAAGACAGTGAATTGTATGATCCCGAGTGTATTCGAATGACCAGTTCATTTAACATTCATCTCATAAAAATATTTATCGACTAAGCGTTTTCCAACATAAAGTTATTATTATGGAGATCACAACAGGGGTGTGCAATTAACGAAACACAATTAAGAAATTCTCACTTGAATTTACATGTTAATCACGAATTTGTTTTCAATATATCAGATCAAGACTACGCAGATAGTAAGTATACTTTACTGACAGATTGTATGGTCAGTTGCTTTTAATCCATTTTATTTAAAATGATAGTTATTCCGGGAAAACATGTGATATCGTGCAGTTGGAAGACGATAAATAAGATAAGCACACATATGGAGAAAATAACAGATCAAATTAAGATAAAACCGTTAATCCAGAACATTTACACTGCTACCAAATAAAACCACTCATCAAGTCTCTGAACTATCAACTGAAATCCCATTAGCACTGAAATCTAGGATATTGTTCCTTATGCTGAATGCATTATACTCCCTCAA